GCTGGGATAGATTGGGATACGCCAACTGAGCACGTACTGATTGATCCGTTGATCTATGTTGATCTTAGTGCATCATTCACATGGAAAAGGGACCATGGCAAAATACGTTGGTGTTTTGCGATCGTTGGCGCCGCATTCAGGGCGGCCGTCGAAGTTTCGGATGTCAGGGTTTCCATCTGGTTGAAATTCACTCAGGATCAACCATCCAGGTATCCACTGATGGTATCCAGGTGGATGGAAATAAGGAAAACACATTTGTTTCACCGCCACGCATCGATACAGATCTTTGAGACTTCAGAAATTCACAAAACAGTCCATCTCAGCTAGTTGGCCCGGAACAGCCCGTGGGTTTTACATGGTTTTACCGTGATGTTTGGCCGCTTTTATAAAGCTGCTGCGTTCGTGGATGTCGCGGTGATGATAACACACTGGAGGGGTGATGCGGTCAGTGTCAAGGTGGACGTGAAGAGAAGCAGCGAAGAAAAACCGCAATTCATGGTCCAAAAAAGGAGAATGCTTTCCCCCCATAGAATTACTGTTGTTCAGAGAATTCAGAAAGTTCAAGAAAAACACATAGTTCGCCGCAATATGCCGCAATGTGAAATGCAGTTTTGAATGCAAATTACTGGGAACTGCACATTACAGTTACAGATTTAAACCCCTGTAATTACGCATTTCAAGCTTTGCAAATGTTGCAAAATTCTTGCCCCATGGAATTGCGAACATTCAGTATTTTTGGAATGTGGGAAATGTCATGTCGTGTCACGGTCCGCTGTGAGCGGTGGACCTATAGTTCATATCATTTCCCACATTCAAGTAACAAATAACAAACCCTCATCCAAAGCCAAAGCCACAATCACACTCGGTTTGATTGGCTATGCCAATGGTTGGATTGGGTATACCGGTATAATTGTTTAGTGTTGCTTCCCTGCTGAAAGTCAAACTTTTAGCGTTTTTTTATCCATGTAAATCCACCTAACCCCAAAAACACAAAAAAAAAAAACAACGTGTAAGCCTGTACTCGTACCTGCCCAGTGTAAATCAATTGATTACCACACTCAGGTATGTACTCAGTGTGCTATGTGTACTCCAAATAAAATTGATACAATGTGAGGCCCCCAAGATAGCTAAGTTGGTTTATAACTCCAATAACTATGGTTTATGGTACTTATAACTATAGTTACTGGGGCTTATAAACCAACTTATAACTGGGGGGCCTCACATTGTACGTATACCATCGTATACCTCTCCATGTTCAGGATTTCTCAGCCTGAACTCGGCGACAAAACCACCGCACCTGACTCAGCTCCTCTTTGCAGTCATTCATCTGTCGATCCAACGACACAACCTGCCCCGGTGCGGCAAAGGATCAGATCATCATGGCTTTTCGTTGAGAAAAGCCCCCAAAAAAAATGCGGGGGCTCTTCAAACAGCAAGAAAAATGGGTGTACATAACCATTTTCAATATTATATAGTGTGTAAGTATGTGTAAGTCCCCAAAATAGCAACAAAAAGACACAAAGCTTCAAACATCCAAAGCGAAGAGTGGATCATCATCACGGCAAATCAATATATATATATATATGTATATGTATGTATGCCACCAAATACTTCCCAAATCAGACTAATTGCTAACCAATCGTTTGGATGCTACCCCCACTTCTCAAAAACGGTGAGCTCACACCTGAAGGTTCCCTCTCTGGACGTCCCGCCGGAGATCGTTCAGAGCCGTCTGGCACGAGAGACACGAGTTTCGGCCATGAATCCATGTGAATCCTGGAACATCCCACTGGGATATGCCCACTGAAACTGGGAGAATGGTGGAAAGAAACTCGGATCGTAAAAATAAAGGAGTATATTATCCATTATTATCCAGAAATGTAGATGATTTGCTTACTGGTATCTACCATCTTTGTGTCCTTGCTTACTCGAGGGAATCTGACGAAGAATTGTTGAGAATGCTTGCAAATACACTGGATAGCTCCGTGTGGAACACGTACTTTCTTCCTGAAGCATGAACTTGCAACCAGCCCACACTGTGTGGCAAGTACCCCAAAAATGGGAGTCCCATACCCAGCTTTGCAGTTAAAAGAACAATACACCTCCAACCATGAGATTTGTGATTGGGTTTACCACACTACCAATGCCCACATTTTTAGAACAAGGGTTGTAGCATCCCGTGTGACCGTTTTTTCTTCAGGCCGTGGTCAGTGCTGACGATTTACAGCTCCGGAAAGGGCTCTCAGCGGCAAGCATCGTCCATCAGAGTTTCCGGAAGATACATATATGTTGGTACGTGAAACAATATTGGTATTTAAATGCATTTAAATGCATTTAAATGTATTTAAGTGTTTTTAGGTGTATTTACATGATTTAAAAGTATTTAAATGATTTAAATGTATTTAAATGTATTTAAATGCATTTTTAACGGTGTATATATATATCGATATGTGCATGATGTCGAGGTGTAAAATATACTTACCACTTTGTACATATATATATATATATATGTATATATATATATACATATTATATGTATACATATAGATTACATCATTAAATGTATAAAACGTTTGCTCATTTGAGACGTTGGCATTTTGGGTCTGGTAAGGACATTGCTTATGTAAGCTTAGATACTCCTTGAAACGATTGGAATATTACCCAGCACAAATGCACATATCAACCTGCGCCTCCAGTGAACGTGGTCTCATTATCATTTTCAATTGAACACTTGCCCCCTTTATGGAGTCATACGTGATGTGGTGCCCGTGAAATCAGTTTGATATAACAATATATCCACCATTGATCATACTTGACCGAGTTATAGACCAACTTAGCTAGTGTCTTGGGACCCCGCCTTGTATGGGTCAACAACTAATAAGCATATTGTCAAATATCATATGCGCATTTACGTAGAACTCCGGGAGTGCCCATTGGCTGCCATAGGTCGATGGGAAGTGTGTCCAAAGCCAACGATGCCCCCCTAAGTTGACCCTATTGACATCGTTTCAGGACCATATCAGGAGCATATTGTGGTGGTATATTTCCTGACATAGTCCTGGAACATAGACGTTGTGTATCCTGGATTGTTTGGTAGGTACCTCCGATTTCGGTACCTGAAATTGCCATTGATGGTTAACTCAACCATCGGAGCCCAGCCTGTGTTACCGGCCTCCCATGCTGCTTGGTTATGGCCACTTAAGGGTTGAAAATCACCAACAAAACTCAGCTAGGGGAATAACCAGCTGTAAACAATTAACGGAGGTAGAGTATACCGTAACACTTTGATGGCTCCGTATACCCTGCAGTAAACTACAGCAACACAAATAACTACCGAAAATCCTCCATGTGTGCATCATTTTCTGAACGGAAAAATCATGAATTTCCAAAGCGATGTAAGTTTACTCAACCATGTATCCTATTTCAGACACATCAAAAAACATAACACTTGTAATATGATGTTGTTCTACCATGATATCCGCATTAATATCAGGTTAGATTCTTGAGAGGTTACTTGAGAGTACATTGACTTGGATTTACTTTTTCGGAACCCTCAAAAAATAAAAATAATACCCTGTAGATGTGCCATTTCTGGTGGATTTCCGGTTGGGAAAATGCAACAAAAACACGTCGACTCAAGCAAATCAAGGTCAACATCCACATTGCAAATCTAGGTCGCTACCCATCATGTTGTTTGTTTAGGATACAACTGGGGATATCCTATGTACTGGGCCATCATATGCTACACTATGGCAATTATATTGGTTGTGTATCCACTTATAAACGGAACTGCAATATTGGTACTTTAAAAAAATGCTTATCCACTATATACTATAGTTATAGCTTATAACCCATATATAAGCCATATATAAGCTATATTACTATAGTTATATATCCCATAAGCTATATAAATCCCAAGTATTCCCAATATATGTGGGCTTCCTATGGCTGACCAGTGGATCAAACGACGATGCGCCACTTAAGGAACCGCCTGGCAACGTGGCGCCCTCCTTCGGATGATCATCCCGGCTTCGTGGCGTCGGAGACATCAGGGAACTTCATGGCTATTCCATATGTATATATGTATCATAATATCATATAATACCCTATGGATCCAAGTACCTTCTTAGGAAGTGTTTGGGGTATAATTTACTATAATTTGGAGAGTTAAGTACCTTCTCAGACAGTGTTTGGATCCATAGGGATATACTGTATATATATATATATATACGTACCATATAGATTTGTATTCTGGAAATATAGATTTGTAACTATCTGGTAAACATACAAAAAACTATGGAACGATCCACCATTTTTCATCGGAAAACTCACTATTTCAATGGCCATTTTCAATAGCAAACTGTTAGTTTACCAGAGGGTATGTATCATAATATCATATTCTATATAAGTACCATATAGATGTGTATTCTGGAAATATAGATTTGTAACTATCATACACATAATTTTATTCACTCTATAAATACATAAATACACATAAATACATATAAATACACACAACGCTATTTCCTATGCAAGCGACTCTCGATTCTGCGGATGCACCCAATGGGAGATCTTGGAAAGATCTCACGTTCAAACAGACGATATAGATAGAGAAATTAAATGATATCTACACAAAACAAGAACAAATCTGAGAACATCAAACCAACATAAACCAACAAACAATCATGAACGACTATGTTTGATAATGCAATTAAATCACTTAAGACAGTGCTTTCACAATTTCAAAAAAGTGTTACACATTGGACAACATCGCAACCTTTAACGGGATGATCACCCAAGTGCACCCAAGTGATGTTCGCTCAACTCCTGGCCACAGCAAGTGACTTCCTGGTGCGTTTTACGTAGGGAATGGATGGGTTGCTGGGGGTTGCTGGGATGATTACTAGTGATTATGGATCATTCCCGAAAATTCCCTACGTTTAGCACCAGTATGTTACAGATTATCACAATGATACCATGTCTATATGATGTAAACGGCCAAACTGCCTCTACAATTGATGGTCTGTGTTTTTTTCTCTTTTTTCGCAGGAGAGAAGCATCGTGCCGCCTCCGTTCTGTTGGCATGTTGGCACGCAACTTCAGTTGCATGTCGGAGCAGATGCCATGAATTCGGTGAAAACGTCATTTCGATGTCTCCCTCCACAGTGTTGGCCTTGGGGAGGATTCACTTCACCAGTTGACTCGCAGACTAGTGAATTTAGTCCTCGGGACTACCCCAAAAAGTTCGATGATCTTCCCAGCAACTTCCATGGCTAGTGCGGGGATTTCCCAGTTAGTCACGTCTGATTACCAGAAGGTACATATATATATATATATATATACTGTATATATAATCATATATTTATAATTATATATATATTACACGCCAGCAAATCCCCACCTATCCTTGAAGTGAATTTTCTGATCATTCACAGGAGGCCATTGAAATCATTTAAAGAATGACACATATTACTATATATATATATGTTATTATATGCTAGTTTACCACGTACTGTGAAGTATGAAAATGGTGTAGTTTACCACGTCCTCAGAGTTAATCCCAACATCCCAGATATCTGTGGATATCTTTGGGGCGGAAATTGAGTTAAAGAGGTACCAAAAGGGTAAACATAAAGTTTGCGAACTGGAAAATCACCATGCTTCATAGCTAAGTCAACGATTTCTAAATGGGCCATTTCCAATGTCGTAAACTGATTTACCCATTAAACATGTGATTTTCCCATTAAAAATGCATTGTCCCTTATAAACCAACTATAGATGGACCATGGTATGGGATTTTCCATGGTTTTTCCATTGTGACATTACTGGGCCCCCATGGCACCGTGGCTCTCACTTCGTGTACCTGGAGCCAGCGGAGCGAGCACTGCACACGAGAACATGTACATACGACATATGATACGATAATTAATATGATATAACATATAATACAATGTATATATATATATGAATAATAAAATACAATAATATGATGTAATGTAATATATATATATATATAATTATATAATGTATAATATATATATAATAATATAATATAATATAATATAATATAATATATATATAATTGTATATATATAATAATATATATAATAATATAATGTAATGCAATATAATATAATGTGATATGATATATGTATGCTACTAGTATCTTTTCCATCAGTGAATCTTCTACTTTCAGCATCCTTTCGGGTCACTTGGAAGACTTCGTCATAAGGTCGTTCACGTTGATCAAACCTGGCTGCGGCTTCACCATTGCTGAGATGGCCAGCAATCCCATCTGGTAGATTCCTCCATTTACTGAACGAAACAGTACAAACAAGCCAAACCAGGGTTTACCCAGTGGATTACCCTCTGGTAATTTAACATAGCAATGGAAAATCACCATTTTTAATGGGAAAATCCACTATTTCTATGGTCATTTTCAATAGCTATGTTAGTTTACCCAGTGGATCACATCACCAAGTCTAGGAAAAATACCCTCATTGAAACTTCCCTGATCTGAAGCCAGCAAAACTCCCTTCCGGATCATGCTCTCATGTTGTCCCGGGGTTCATGATGGTCTCCTGAAGACCAACCACTAGCAGCTGCAAACCGCAGCTTCCAAAGGAGGGAAATGTCAGCTTCCAACCGCAGCTTCTATGCCCTGTAGATACACATACTAGTAGACATTTGAATTTCTGGGTTTGCTGAACAATGCGGTACCCCAAAATCACATCATTCTACAATCACCATATTTGCCACATAAAAACCGTATCATTTAAAACAACATAGGTGTGATCATATCCGCATTTCTATAGTCTGTGTGTCCAGACCGGGATCATGATATCATGGTTGTTGGTTTCACCTGGTTTTACAATATTGTCGGTCATATCCCTGATCCTACAAACATCTCACAGATTCGGCAAAAGATTCCACCTCCATGGTTAGTGTTCCTCGAATGATTTATGGTAGAACTGGTAGAACTCCCTTCGTGGTTTCAGCCCATCTTTGTCTGTGTCTCTTGGATTCACACTGTGGCTGGTTGGAAGAAACAACGTCTAGCAGCTAGCAGAAGTTCAATGTTCAAACTTCTCCAGAAATGGCTGATTTTGAACATGACTGTTACAATGTATCTGTTGGAGTTTACATGCCCACGTTTTTTTTTTGGGTGATGTTTTTTTTATGAAAGGACTATCTACCCTCTGGTAATTTAACATAGCTATTGAAAATGACCATTTTTAATGGGAAAATCCACTATTAATGGCCATTTTCAATAGCTACGTTAAATTACCAGAGGGTATCTATCACACCCATCCTGAAGGCCTAAGAATAACTAGGAAAACAAAAACCTCCCCTTCACCAAGGTCTATCCCTTTCACCAAGCAGCGTTTGAAGCTGCGGCTGTCGATGCTTAGAAGTTTGGCCTTAAGCGGAACTGTGGGGCCCCACACCAACACAGGCAGAATCATATGGAAATCTAAGGGTGGTTACTGTGGTTACTCTCCGGTAAACAAATGTAGCTATGCGTTTTCGAATTCGAATTCTTCATCGCTAACCTGTACGTCATTTTGGTCTCCCAGACCAGCATGTTACCCAGACCCTGGCTAAGGAAAACCAACGAACCTGGCTATCATTTTGTGCCTCAAGGTAGAAGGAAGCCCACTAACCTGGCTATCATTTTGTTCTCCATCGCACGTATAACATAGATTTATCATGATCTATCAAAATGAGGACGCTGCTAACCTGGCTATCATTGGGATATGGGGATTTTACACATAACTAACCTGGAAAACACTATCGTTTTATGTGAGTGTTTGTCGCTACGTTTGTTTACTAGAGTTAACTATAAGTTTGCTTTTTCTTTACGATCCAAATTCCAAAACATTCCAACGCATTCCAAAAGATTCCCGAAAGGGGCGCGATTACCAACCCGGAGAAACTCAGGTTGAGGTCTGGTGCAACTACAACACCTTTTTGTTAAAGCCCACATCAAAGACTGATATCCTCTGGCAATCTGAGTTGGGAATGGAACATCAGAAATAGAACATCTGAACATAGGTATACTGTAGATTATAATAGTGTATATGTGTACGTACGATATATACAGAATAGTCTCCATCTTTTCCCCATGAGGGAAAATCAGGGTGGCTGCGAACCCATGGCCACTTATGACCCCGTTTTTTGGGGTGTAAGTCTCAGTATTGATTCAAGAGAACATCTAACAGGAAACCACTAGAAACATCTAACAGGAAACCACTATATGTTGGTTCTGAACAGTGTTTTTTCATAGTTATCGTTTTACACATAGCTTTACCTGTTCACCTCTATACACCACTATAATATGGCAGTGTGTCAAAACCTTGTACCCCTAGTGAACCCCAAAATAGCTGGTAAATGGATGTTAATCCCACTAAAAATGGTATTAATAGGTACTAGTATTGATCCATACCCATATGGAGGTTTAAAACAACAACAACAACAACAACAACAACAACAACAACAACAACAACAACAACAACCAACGTTTCATCGTCCGCATCTTTTCCCATGGCCACCGTTTTGTTGTTTGCCGAGCTCTCGGGCTTCACCGTTGGACGTGACGGTGGCGGCACGTGGCTTGTTGTTGATCAACGCCTTAGGCGGAAAATCTGGGCAAATGTACAATATATTAGATATGAGATGATATGAGTATTGTTATTATTGAATATCATTATTATTGATGATTCAATCACAGAATATATAATATTCAATTGATTTGTTATTATGATATCCCATAGGATCCATGTATGGTATATATGCTAACATGACGGGGGTATATTGATGGGATCCATGGCACACCACATATAGCAGCACCATGGATCCGTCATGGCTATGGTTTTTTTTGATGCGAAATTGATGCGAAAACTATGGGGATCACATTGATGGGACATCCCTGGGACAATTCTTCATCATTTCTCCAGTAACTGATGCAGTGGATTTATGTCTGGATTTGTGAATCAGATGAAGAACTACAGATTTCTATCATTGTTTGTTTGTTTATAAACACTCATAGACTCATAGATAATAGAGTGAATAATGTCTTCATATGTATATATATATAATAATATATAGTCATTATTGGATATACCAATATACCAATAAAGATTACATATACAGTACGTATGCACCATGTCGGACTGTTGCCCTCCAATCTTCAGACCCAAATTAATCATCAAACATCCATACCCACCAACAAAAAGTACTAAGATGTACTAAGCATAAATGCAACACAAACTACATGTAATCACGTAATCCACCATTTTAACATATTTTAACCACATAACCCATGCTGTGACCCTGGGTGTTCAAATGTGTTCAATAAAGGCATGTACAAATACCTAGCCATGGCTTGAAGCCACCAGATTACCCACTAAAACAGCTCAGCCAGTTTTGAGGATACAAGTATGTATGCCACAAAATGTATGATGAATTGGGTGATATCACCCAATGCACCATTTGTTGCACCACTTTTTGTAGCTTGTTTTGTCCGGATCCAAAGGTCTTTGTCTTGAAAGGCCTGTTCTTGCAAAATCAGTCGGGAACCAAGAAAAGAATGTGTTGCTTTAAAAGTTCAGCATCTCTTTTACCATACCTTCTAAGCGTTGCCGCTGTTCCGAGTTGCTTGTCCAGACACATCCAAATTTTGAATTCCAGCTCATCCTATCATGCCCTTCACATATTTAAGAGAAATCTTCGGGAAAATGTCAAAGCTTGCACGCCAAACATCCTATTCCAACTTCCATTGGAGAGTACTTTCAAACATCATTTTTTGAACTGTTGGCCATAAAAATAATAAGCCCCCAATCACTGTCCAGCTCGGAATTTCGCCAAATTTCTCAGGTCCAAAACAACAAATCCGACCAAGCTCGGATGTGCTGAAAGAGTCGAGGAAAGCTATGGATTCCCCGAGGAGTGGGTTCTTCCCAGCTGAGAACATCACCCATTCCACATCCCAAATCCTGTGGTTTCTCATGGCCATTTCATGGGAAAACATGATGATGCCTAAGCACTAGTGGATTTAGAGGTACCAGAAAAAATCATTTTCAGAAGCCATATGGGGGTTTCCATAAATGGGGGTACCCCAATAGCTGGATGGTTTATAAGGGAAAATCCAATTAAAGTGGATGATTTAGGGGTACCCCCATTTATGGAAACCCTCATGTATGTTCCTGAAAAATTGGGAAATTTCCCAGTCTGAAGGCAAGGCACCAGTTCACCGAAGTAATCCCCAGCTGAATAACTCATGACTTCCGTGCCTCCCTTGGTGGCCGTAGCGCTGCCTTCCTGGCCATTGCTGGGATCTCCAGGAATCATGAGACCAGAGGGATCCAGAGGGATCCAGAGGGATCCAAAGTAAGTCAAACTGCTACCAGAAAAAATGCACACTTTTAAACCTCCGCAAAGAAAAGGTCAACTATTCCGCCCATGCGATACGAACAGGTACGCTATACTAACAGCAAACTGTGAGATCTACGTCTGAAACAACCATCTTCCAGAGGAATTCGTCCGGACTCAGCAGCCTATCCGATCCATTCTCCACCCCAAAAAAACCACATCCGGCGGCTCCTCGAGGATGTAGAATTTGTCTCCAGGTTCTCCTTCGGTAATGATCTTGTCGTCTTTCTTAAAATTCTCCACCTTCAAAGCATCCGCCAATTGGGAGCGTTCATAGGCGTCCATGGAGGAAAGCAGAGGCACCTGCGGGCTGAAAATGTTGGCAGCTACGGGATCATCTAGGATTTCATGAGATAGTTTTTCCGATTGCTAGCAGGGCTAGCAAGGCTAGCAAGATGTCATTTCCCCTGGGATTCGTTCGATGGGTTGCCAGGAATTACTCTGTGCAATCACGTGCAAACACTGGGAGACTCAGTAGCTACCTGGTTCTGTTTAAATGAGTTCCTATAGAGAAAGGACAGACTTGTTGGACTCGCTTGCAGTTATGAAGCAGTTCAAAGCTACCACCCGTGTCCGCTCAAAGCTTTTAGAGAAAGAATCGGAGTCGATACCCTTCTTGTTTAGGGATTTTGCGCTTTCAAGGCTTGAATATATGTGTGCCTCTAATTTCATTGATTTCCCAACTGATGTGTATCACACATTTACAGGCATGGAGGTCATACAGGGTTTCTCAAGACAATACAAGGCAGCGCAAACGCATGCTAAAATGATTGATGATGGTTGTGCTGGTCGTGATAGTTGAGTCGCAAGGAACTGATTTTTATATGCAGCTTTTGATGAATATACCCCACAATAAGCGCTAGTTGAATCTCCGATCAACCACCATCACCCTGTGTTTGTGATCACTGCTCACTTGGAGCCTATGTAGATTGTCGGGAGATGTCCGGTTTGTAACATGCCTGCCACTTCTGGTGGTTAACCTAGCATACCCAATTCAAAAACTTGTGTTTAAGCTGATACTGTTGATTGACAAACACACAATTCACAAGTCTTGTTACCTAGTACCAGGTTACCCCGCTGTACCAAGTCTGGAAGAATCTTAAATATTAAACTCACCCAAGGTAGCAGTGGAAAATGGAAAACGTCAAACTAGTGTCAGGCATCAAGTTCAAAACTTTTAGCAAGCAAATATGTGCCCTCTGAGTACGTTATAATGATAATGACAATGACCAATAATGATTATCCCAATATATAATGATAATGAAAATGACCAATAAACCAATATTATCATTATTAACCCATAATAACAATGACAATGTCAAACCACTTGTCCTTTGGAACAGTGGCCACCGGACGCCGGCGAAAAAACGGAAGCCGACGCCAACCTTGGAGAGGAAGCCATCGTAGCGTGCGCGCTTCTTCTCCGCTGCCTCCTTGACCTAAGGATGCAGCTGTGGTGGTGCACTCCCCTTAAAAACATGTGAAACATTATATGTATAATATATATATATATATACACACACACCGTATATCCGTATTAAGTATATATACTACATATGATATAAACAATCAATACATATTCAAAGCTACTGTATAGAGTATATAGTGTATTATATATATATATATATGTTATCAATGTAATATCTTTATATGTAAACATGGAAAGTCTCAAGTCTCAAACAACAAACCTGTGGAAATGGCAAATCTTTGGGGTTCCATGCTGGATTTCTGTGGGCAGGATCTAGCTCGAGATCGATGATGACGAAAGAGATATCACAAGCGTTTTCCAACCACAAGAACAGTGGATCAAACATGTGCTTCATCTGTGAAAAACTTGGCCTCAGAAAAGGATGAATTTGATTTGACAGCCAAAAAAACAAGGAATGGGAATACACCCCTGTTGCCGCTGAAAAACTACTGTAGCTTGAATTTAACAGGCATCTCCACTTTCTTGAAATCCTGACCCTTTTTTGTGGATCTGACGCACCATTGGAAGACATTGCAACCAGAAGGACAGGGGCTGTACTATACAAAGAAACATAGGGATAAGACAAAACCAACAAAAACATAACCAAGTACTAGTAGTCAATGGAATCTGGGAAGCTACATGCAGCAATAGTAACAGCAAGAGCAGCAGCAGAAGAAACAACGACGACGACGACGACCACAACCACAACAACAGCAACAACAACAACAACAACAACATCATCATCAACACCATAGATCGAAGCAAAATAGAAACAACGCACACAAAAAAAAAACAGAAAAACAAAAACACTGCCCCCAAATGGCTCTGTCTGAAGATAGGCTAGATTCGGCTATGGTGCCATATAAAAATAGCCAAACAGCCAATTCTCAGGGACTTGCTGAGCATCCCAGCAATGTGATTGAAGGTATCACGGTCCAGCTGCCAAAGGGTGCAAGGCTCCTGGATCTTTTCATCACCCGTAGCAGGTCTGATAAAAGGGAACCTGATAATAAACTGTTGTGAATAAGTTCATTCATAAAGTTGCGTATAGTATATGTATATATGTATATGATTATATGTATATACATATGTATATATGTATATTATGGATTGATATTGTATGTATAATATATATACAAGGTGGTGCCCCCCAGTTATAAGCTGGTTTATAATCCCATTAACTATAGATGTATCTACCATAAGTCCTAGTTATTAGAGTTATAAACCAACTTAGCTATCTTGGGGGCACCACCTTGTATATATATATATATCATTATATATATATATATACGTACATACATGGCCTATATACATATGTATATATATATATATATGGTTATAGTTTCTACAGTCCATGAGCAGCTTCGACCTGAGACAGTTAGTGGGCTTCAATAGCTATGGATCATGAATGGGCTACAGTTGCCACCAGAGCCTTAGAGGGGCCTATTGATCCCGTCATCAGGAAATCGTCACAATTTAAGCACCAAAGAGTTTCCCGTGTTAATTTCTGAATTCTAACATGGGCGCATCCAAATCTCACCAAACAAAACAGTAATTTACCATGTTTTTACCGGTGGAATGTCAGTATCGCACTATTGGGCTAGTTCCATCTCCGTCCTTGGCAGTGACTGAAGCAGCACGGGGGCAGTTATAGAGGAGCGCCAACTCACCTGAGGCCGTTCGGCTGGGGACTGTTGCAAGGTTTGCATCCGAGCGATTGCCAAGGCCCAACCGAGAACGCGACGCACCTAGCAACCAACATGGCTTTGGGTGAATATATGGAATACGAAACACCCCCAAATATCCCAAATCTAGTGTCAAAACATGTCAAAATCATCATGTTCTCCCCCCTTTTCTCCCATTTTTGCTCCAAACTCCATCTGGATTTCAGAAATTCCAAGCCCCATGGCCCTGTTTTTTCACCACACCCGGCCGCCCCCCGGGTGTCCCAGCCGAAGACATCGCCGGCTTCGCATTTCTTCACCACCTTCTCTGAGCTGTCGGCCATCTTGATGGAGCAACTGAGCAACGGATCCAACGGTGGCTGGAAAAAACCATGGGGAGATCATCGCAAGAACGACAGGTTTTTGTGGTTTTTGTTGAAGAGCTATAGGAAAACATATGGCAGTGGGTCAAAACCAATAGTACCCCTGTAGTTCACATCAAAATAGCTGGTACAGTAAATGGATGTTCATCCCCCTAAAAATGGTATTAATAGGTATTGATCCATACCCATATATGAAAAAGAGACTCATAAATGATCCAATCCTGAAATTGATGGTCACATTTAGATTCAACAGGGGTCGGTAAATCTCCTATTTTTTTCACATCACCTAACTATTGGGAACATAATCTCCAACAAATATTTGTTGGGGTGATGCTCAAGTTCCAAAACGGAAATATTTGTCTCACCTTATTATAAATCGTTCTATGTTATTATCTTACAACGGGTTAATAATTATAGTTTTTTGTGGATCATTAAACAATAGAATATGGGCATGATCTTGATAACTTATCGGGGTTTGAAGGGGTCCCTATGGATCCAAACACTGTCTGAGAAGGTACTTAACTCTCCAAATTATAGTAAATTATACCCCAAACACTTCCTAAGAAGGTACTTGGATCCATAGGGATAGTAACCCCAGAAAAAAAAAGACGCATCATCCAGCTGAAAGTTCTGTCCGTTCAGGTTGCTCCAGGTTGCTCCCAACACCGATGCGTTTCGCTGGGACAACTGAGTAGATACCCTCTGGTAAACATACAATAAAACATCAATAAACCATGGAAAATCACCATGTTTGATGGTTAAATCAACTGTTTCTATGGCCATTTTCAATAGCTTTTTGTATGTTTACCAGAGGGTAAAGAAGTAAAACTACCATGGTTTCCCCCTGCTACACAAAAACCTCCAGTGAGTTGGAGCAAACCTGATGATTTACGTGGTCCGAGAGTGTACAACGGGTTACTAATGGGTTAAGAACAGAAGAAAAGTGATGAGATGTGATGAGTTTTTGTCCATGCGGATGTCACCATTATGTATACATATATATATGTCGTTAAAATATTTAAGCATGAACAATATGGAGTAAAATTATGTAAAATTGATGGTATAGGTTATGTTTGCAGGAACTCCCATCGGTGGGTTGCTGAGTGAAAATATCAAACATCCACGGAGGTTAATCGATGTCCAAAGGAAGATTCAATGGTCATGCTGCTGTACTGTAGTGGATGGTTTCGACAACAGTCACGTACCGTTCGTTCTTGGAGAACTTAGGGGAGACTCGGGGCCAGTTTAATCCAGACCTTTTCCGGATGGGTTTTGAAGACTAGCAGAAGTGGGATGCTATATATACTTTGTTGAAATCTCCGTTACCCTCTCGTAATTCATAGCTATGCAAAATGGCCCATAGAAATAGTTTACCTTTGACAAATGGTGGATCTTTCCAGTTCGCAAACTGTTAAATTACCAGAGGCTACATCCTATTAAATCCCATTAAATTCCATTAAACTACCATTTTCCTATGGTTATTCCAGAGGCTACATCCCTATTCTTCCCCATGATCGTTGCTCGTTCGTCCCCACGTATCCTGAGCGATTCATGTGCGAATAAACCGTGCGAGGAACTCAAGAGTGCCAGACTCAATGACGAAAAGGAAATCGCCATTGTCACCTCAGATCACTGGGATGCCGGGCTAATTAAACACCAACTATATCTGGTTGGTGGTTTCAACCCCTCTGAAAAATATTAGTCAATGGGAAGGATTATCCCATATATTACGGAAAATAAAAAATGTTCCAAACCACCAATCAGTAATTTAACATAGCTATTGAAAATGGCCATTTATAGTGAGGTTTCCCATTAAAAATGGTGATTTTCCACAGTTTCTTCAATGGATTTCCATGGATTGTTGATGTTTTTCCAGGGAAACACGGAAAACCTCTGAAACAAACATATGGCTATGAGTCAAAACCCTGCCAAAACCCTGGCACCCTAGGTACAGCAGGTACCCCAAAATAGTTTGTTAGTTAATGGATGATTATCCCCCAAATATGGTGACAATAATAGGTTGTGACCCATCCCCATATGAGAAAACAATGACCTGGGTCAAGTCAGTGAGTTCAAATCACCAATCAGTTGACGGCCAAAGTATTTCCCAAAAGATATGTGTTGTGGCGGGAAAAAAGGACCCCACTTACGGAGCACTGAAATTTGGGGATCATCCCAGCACATGTCACTCTCAGAGTCCTACAACTGTCAAGTTGACCATCGATAGATCAAAGGTGTCAAGTTTTTGTGGCATGGAATACCCACCAAGACCTAACATTTCGTTGTGATCTTGAAGCCCTCGCTTCAAAACGTGCAAAAAAAATGGAACGTCCCACGCGAAGACAAAAATATCCATGGGTTGGTTTATAACACCAACTACCCTCTGGTAATTTAACATAACTATTGAAAATTGCCATTTATAGTGGGTTTTCCCAAAAAAAAAGATGATTTTCCATAGTTTACCAGAGGGTATATCAATAAACAAGAAAAACACAAATGCTAGTTAGCCGAGCTATAAAATTATATAACCACGTGTAACCATGTTCCAGCACCTAAGGGATCACTTGATGTAAGGGGCAGAAATTTAAGCCGCCACCCCGTCACCGACATCCCCTGAACGCCGCCTTGGTTGATGATACGTTGATCCGCTGCAGCAGTCACCTCCCGCATAGCACCAATGACAATGCTCAAGTCAGTCCTGACGCGGCTCGCGTTCAGCAGGGGAAATCATGTACCAACTTCATTCAATTTCATCCAATTTGTTCGACCTCAACCTACACTAAAAGAGATTTCACTAAACAATACTTAACATATCCAGACATGCGGATGTAATCGGTTGTTCCACATCTATTCTACGAGCGCCCTCTTTTCGAGACTTTATGTTGAGGGCTATCGAGGTCGCTCTAGTTTGCACAGGTATCAGGTTGGTACGTAGTTTGTATCCCCAAGAGGAAATATTACAGTCAATTGGGGACAATCATTCCAAATAGGAATGGAACAGCATGAATTTTGAAACCATTCAACAGCTTTGGCAGCCATTTACCATCCCAAATCCTAACCAATGTCCTATGCCCCCTATTTAGTTGATGGTTGAGTCGTGTTCAATCCCCATAATTGTAAATATAAATATATATTATAATATATAATAAATATTGTAATATATATATATAGTTATACTATGCATCATTATTTGGTATAAGTTAATATCATGGTTGCTGATCATGATATATGATATGTGTATAATTACCCACTAACAGTTAAAGCTACATCTCTTGATGGCTACTGCCAAGGTGCGCGTCGAGCTCGGAGAAGAGGAAAGACTTCGTCAAGCAGGCCTGGCGCCCAAAAAAGTCAGTTTTTTTGGTGGTTACCCTCTGGTAAAATTAACGTAACTATGGAAAATCACCATTTTTAATGGGTAAATTCACTATAAATGGCCATTTTCAATAGCTATGTTAGTTTACCAAAGGGTATATAATATGGGTTAAATCCATGTGATGTTTATCGATCCATAAAAATCCCCACTTAAAAATCTACAATCGTTAGATTCTTCACCCATTGACCATTTGATTTGAATATTTGACATGTTCAATGGATTGGTTAAAGTGAAAATCTTAAAACCGGAAACCCATGGATTTCCATGAGATGGGGAAAATAGATGGGGGGGTTCCGGTGAACATGGCTCCTGAAATCAATTCAATTGATAAGTGGGTTGTGGCAAACCCAATGCCATAGACCATGCCTAATATATGCATATATATATATTAACATTTATGTGGTAACCATAATCCTCAAACATCGTACAGTTTTTGTAGGCAGAACTGGCGTTGACTCCATGTGAAATTTCCCACTGGGGTCAACTAGCCATGGTCACAACATCAATGGCCATGCCAGGATCCTAAATTGGAGGTACCAATCCCACATATAAGGCCTATTTTTTAGGCCTATGTTTTTGGGAATATCCCCAGAAAATATGGCCTTATATGGTACAGTACCTCCATTTTAGGATCCGGAATTTCCATGAATTTCCCATTGAAAAAAGGGAGCTATGATGGGGTATGGTCATCCCGGATTGGCGATATGGGCATTTTGCATCGGCTTTTTTCAGGATCCCAAATGGCTTTGTGTTCTGAGGTGATCTACAGTTCAATGGGATGAAGTGACCCACAGTGGAGCGAATCAAATGGCCCCATTTGAAAGGCTGAAGAGCTTTACCGGTTTGGAGATTCAATCCACTGGTGATGGACCGGTATACCACTCACATGATTTTCCAGCGTCCATCCCCAATGTTCAAAGCAGTGCTGCCTTCAATCTGGTCTTCTGCTCCTCATTCTTGACCAGCACTGGTGGGACAAAGGCCTTCTTGGCGTTCCTCGGCAGCAAATATGGACATAGTTCTACGAAGGGTGGAAAAGAACACAACATGCTTTCAAAACAGGGAGACACAACATGAAACCTCCAGTGCTGGCCGTTCGTTGTTGGGTATTGCAAGCACCAAGCCATTGCGACAAAGAATTGACTGTAACTTGTCTACCGCCCAAAAGTTGGGTCAACCAATTTGATAACAACTTCAGCACCAAGTAGCAGAAAGTTAAACCCCAATTTCGTGATGGGTATCACCCAGCCATGTTTGCCGGCAAATGGCCATTCACCATAAGCTTCAGCTGACACACTGGTTCGCCTCAGCTGCGTCAAGGGCTGTGGCCTTTGCCACAAAAGTGAAAAATCAACTCATCGGTGTCTCCAAATCCCATGAAATCCTAAGAAATCTGATGAAAAATCCAGTAGAAATTCCATTAAATTCCAATGAATCCCATAATCCCATAAAAAATCCTACATAAAAATACCATCTTTTGACCATTGGATTGGTTTGAGGGAAAATCTCCAGGAAAAACCCATGGTTGCTGGGGAAAAACCATGGTTTCCGGTTGAGATTTCCCTTAAACCAAGCCATTGATTTGACCATCTCCGCACGTTCACCCGGCGCTTCCCACGCCGCCAGGTGACGCTTTGTTGGACTGATCCACTTCCCAACCTGGAGGTGGTTCATCATCCTGGCATGTCCAGGTCACAGTCCTTGGGGTTGGGAACATATGTATACATGTATATTACATATATTACATATATATATATATATGTATACATATATATTGTGTATATACATATATATTGTGTATATACATATATGTGTGATTGCATTTTTCTTGGTGCATGTGTCTGTATCGATACTATATATATATATATGTGACGTGTGTGTGTGTGTGCAATAAGTGTATAAGTACCTTGAACCCAAATGACCATTTGTTTTGAAGGGGACATGCCCCATAAAATAGAGGGTTAACAATCCGCAAGAGGCTTCTGGGGTTTTAAGTATGTACATGTGTGGATGTACATGAATATGTAGATTGTAGATGTATATGTTATGGACATGGATATGGATGTGTATGTGTATATAGGCTCTTTGAGCTGCAATAACCTACCAAAAGGACATATGTTGCCCACAAGATTGGTTATATCGTGAATCCATGTCTTTGTTTTTATCCCCTCTTGCGTGAAATTTGGTGGATTTCACATGTATGGGGGTGTCCCTATTCATTGGGTTATCCCTAAATCATCCATTTATGTTCTGAATTGTCCATGAAATAAACTCTTCATGTTCTCCATTTTAGGCCCATTTATGGAACCCCATAAGCAAAAAATGTTCCTATGATTTCCCATCATTTTTCTATGATTTTCCTATGATGTTCCTATGATTTTCCAGTGTTTTAAACCCCATGTTTTTCCCGCCGCGCCTCATCGTCCTCTTCCTCCTCCTCTTCGTCGGCAGCCTGCGCCTCGCTGGCCATCTTCGCGGCTTCTTGGACCTGAAGGCTGGTGGATCTACAGGGGAAACTAAGGTAAACAAACATAGATGTGGGGATGGGTCAAAACCCTATCCCCCTGGTGAACATCAAAATAGCTGGTAAATGGATGTTCATTCCCCTAAAAATGGTATTAATAGGCATTGATCCATAGCCATGTGGACATCTTAAACATGGATCTGGTTGGTGGTTGACCTACCCCACTGAAAAATATGAAAGTCAGTTGGGATGATGAAATTCCCAATATATGGAGAAAATGTTCCAAACAAACAACCAGGGATGGGAATGATCTTATTTGGATAAGTCAACATAAATCTTAATCTGGACAATACTAACATAGTTGGGAATTAAGGTAATTCAACAGGCAAAATGATCTAGAAATTGTTCTTGATTTTCCACATCTATGTTAATTTATGTTAGTTTGCAGGAGGGAATGTGCAAAACACATATGATATCCCATGATGATATCATTGATATGCAGCCACATATATTAATATTTATGGGGTTCAAATGGATTTAACATGAATTAACATCATGTAACCAGTAACCATCAAATATGGATATTGATGGATGATCCGTCAATCATACTGTGATTTTCACCCATATTGATGAAACTGGGACACCCAAAACCAGCGGCACCTGGCCCTTGATCTTGTTCACCTGGGAGCACGTAGTAGATTCGGCGGATTCGATGGAGTTCTTGCTGGTAATTTTAAGGGATAAACCTGCCATAAACCATCCCCGAATGCTATGTAAACATGACAACCAATTTTCCACATGTGATATACAAAAAATAAATAAATGATGAGATGAAATCCATAAAACCTGGTTAAAAAAACATATGTCACTTTTGCTATATCAGCTACTAAAAGTGTTGGGTGAAATCATCAACAATTCAGCTACCAATATAGCAGTGAATATCGCCGTCAAAATCATTGGACATTTGCTAATGATGAAGATTTGCGTGTGTATGTGTGTATATATATATATATATGTATATATATATATATGTATGTATATATATATATATATGTATTACACTCTGGTTATTTAACATAGCCATGGAAAAATGACCCATGTATTATATGATTTTCCCAGCCAGAAACCTCCATTTATAAGGGATTTTCCATGGCGATGTTAAATAACCAGAGGGTATATGTACATATGATTACATATGTATGTATATTATGGCACCCCCCAAAAGATAGAAAAAATGTTTTTCCAGGATGGTATACATATGTATAGGTGATGTTTTCCATATATTTTAGATGTCTCCAACTTTTTGGTATCTAATTGTGGGGTGCTATATCCGGTATACATATACAACATTTATTTATTCATTGATTACGGTATTGTACCAACTGGAACCCGCATCTGTTTTCTGTTTTAGATGGGGTTCCCTGGAACCATTGGAAACAGTAATCCGATTCTATTCAACCACTGTCTTACTGATCCTGGTCTATCATTAATATATCATTAATATATACATATAATATCATCAAATACCCATCATATATGTCAATACCCAAATATATCATTAATTACAACTGATGGGTACAAACCTCAACGTCCGCAAAGGCGACCGGAACTGATAGAAATAATTTCTTTATCACCTACCTTTGATATGTATTATATAAGCAACAACCAAACGTGTACAGATCCAACATCTCCGCGACCAACCAATTAACCGGTGAAAAAATGATGTATGGGGTATGGTCATCCATCCCATAATGGGATAGTGGGATGTCTTCTAATGTGCATATGAGTGGCGGACACAATTATTCTTCCCCGTGACTGCCACGAGCAAAACTGGGTCGTCCCCCATCGGTTGTGAAGATTTCTGCTCTTTGCTAACATCCAGTGGCAAGTGCTGCTGCTTCTGATGCTACTACTACTACTTCTACTACGACTAAGAGTACTAGTGCTAGTGCTAGTCAGCAGTAGTAGTACGTAGAAGTAGAAGTAAATGTAGAAGCAAAAGTAAAAGTAGTAGAAGAAGTAGTAGTAGGAAGAGTAGAAGGAGTAGAAAAAGGAGGAGTAGAAGGAGTAGAAAGAGTGGCAGGAATCTGTGTAGCAGTGACAGTACCAATAGCAGTAGCAGTAGCGGTAGCAGCAGTAGCGGTAGCAGCAGCAGCAGGAGAAGTAGAAGTAGTAGTAGTAGTAGTAGGAGTAGTAGTAGTAGTAGCAGTAGCAGTAGCAGTAGCAGTAGCAGTAGGAGTAGCAGTAGAAGTAGTAGTAGTAATTGAACATAATTGCAAAATTGGGTATCGGTTGGAATCGGTTGGAGTATCAGTGAGAAGTGTGCATGAATTGTCGCGAACAATATGCTTGGTGTTCTCCAAGAGAAAGCTAGGTGAGGTAGCTGTGTACAGCCCTGTTTGTAGCTGTTGCTGTAGAAACAAACACCCTACTGCAGATTATTGTGGGAACATGTTGGAATCTAGGGGTATCGGTGCTGGGTCGTCCCCTATCGGTTGTGAAAGTGTCCTAAAGGCAAGCAAAGTTCAATGCAGCTCTCTACTACTTTGGTCAGATACTCAATATATGTATATATATACCCCTATGGATGAAAGGGTCCCTTCGCTTTCTTTGTTTTTCTGCTTTATACCAAACAACATAAACCAACGCAATATTGATTGACATCGAACAACAAGTCCTCTAACGTATCCGTTCAGAAATACCCAAATCATCCCTGTCATCTGCATGTTTTTTGTGTGATTCTGCCTTACCGGGCCAAACAAAAAAATGGGTGTGTCTACCTGCAAATTGCTCTTTGAATAGGGATAATGATCATCATCAATAATAATCCATTAGAATTGGAAATATTCATTCGTATTCTAGTTTCAGACAAAGCCAAATAAACTCTCTCCACTCATTCAGCAATTCACCTTCACAAGGAGATCCTCGTTCTCCTTCGTCAAGCGTTCTTTCTCCTCCGGAGACAGCAGCTTGTCCTGCGGAACAAAAACCGGAAGATGTGGAGTCAAGTTCTTCAAGACCCCATTCTAAAATATGTTGATTTAGAGGAATTGGATATATTTGGATGGCCGGATTAGTTTGATGAAGAAAGCAACAATCAACCGGGTCAGATTGTTTTGGGAGAGCGATGGCAGGGCCATCGGTTAAAAAGACAATGCCATAAATCATCCCAAGATATTCCAAGATGATGGGTGATCAGAAAGCAAACCGTTTGGTCTTGAAGATGGTTTCTCACTTTAAGTTGGTTGGTGTTTTTATTTCAGGTTTGTTGCCATAAAACAAAACAAGCTGGTTACAATAAAACACAAAATGGTTGTCAAAACAATCGTTGTTTGCCATAAATCACACTGTTTGGTTTTTGAACATTGTTTCTTACAAAAAAACATGCATGTTTTGTTTTTGAATATGGTTTTTCATTTCAAGTTGCTTGGTTTCTCACTTCAAGATGGGTGTTTAAAAAATAAATAAATAAATAAAACAATATCAGAAAGAAACATGTTTTGCTTTTGAATATGGTTGTTCATTTCAAGTTGCTTGGTTTCTCACTTCAAAATGGTTGTTTTTAAGCAAACAAAAATATCAAAAAAATACGTGTGTTGTTTTTGAATGTGTTTTGTCATTTCAATTTGATTATTAATTTGATTGTCATAAGACTAAATTTTGTTGTTCATAACATTTTGATTTTTCAGCTTAAATGGTTAATTTGATGCCTTTGATCCCCTGAGCCTGAACCCTCCAAAGTGACCCTAGGGTCCATCTCAAAGTGGACCCTTGGCCCCCAAGGGTTGCCTCAAGTTCCGCCTTGATTTGGACTACCCGAGTTTGATGCGCCCACGGCTGATGCTGAATGCTCAGACAATCCCCAAACCGAGGAACAATGTTCTGATGCTGTGGTTGAAATAATCCCGGTAGATCTTTAGTTAAAAACAGTAAAAACCAGGAATTCTGATTGGTCAACTGGTCAACACAAACTCGATTTTCCACCGCCGTTTTTCCGTCCTCCTCGCTGGCCTTCTTCTTTTCCAACCTGAGAGGCGTGGGAAATCTCCATCAAAGGAGAAATGTATACACAAACCAACTTAATATTATATGTATATATATATATATATACGGTAACTACATTTAAATATACGGACTTTTAAATATACAAACTGCTATTTTAGACTACCTCTGGGAAGGTTTTCCTTGGCCCGCCCGGCCATTTAAACATACGGAATCCAATTCATTTAAACATGCGGTAACTATATTTGAATATACACACTGGTATTTCATACTACCTCCGGGGCCTCGTGGTCTGGCCCGCCCTCCACATATTTAAATGCCGTTACCGTATATATATATACACACACACATTTTTGTGTTACATGTCGTCACATATATATATATATTACATACATACATATTGTATGAATGTCTATATTGTATAGGTCTTGGCGATTATTCCCATCAGTTCTAGGACTTGGCCGAGCGTCCACTCCAGCATGAACGGCACGGGATCCTGCGAGACATAACTTGGATCATTCCAAGTTCTCTAGGTTGAGAAATGGAGGTTTCCTGAGTCATGGGGGTACCCCTAATCATCCATTTGTTCGGATTTTCCAGTATAAACCATCCAGCTATTGGGGATCCCCCATTTATGGAAACCCGAAATCATTGCAGCAATGGAAAAGTATGATTTCCTCTGTACACATCAACTTTTCAGGGGATCCTAACACATATTTAACATTATTTAACCACCAATTCTAATCCAGAAAAAAATCACTGTTTGCTAATTAAATTCCATGGTTTTCCTCGGGCTTGTTACTCAAATCTCCATGAAAATCAGTCCTTGGGCATCTTGTGAATCGTCTCGGCGACCATCTCTTCTAGCACTGGGTGCAGCATATCCATGATGTACCTGGGTGCTGTGCGTGTATCTACTTAAGGGGAACACGAAAGGTTATGTATTATATACATATATGATTTATATTATACTGTATATATATATAAGTTGGATATAAGTATATTGCATACGCTATGATTATATATGTACATATATGTAATTATATGTACATTACATGTACATATATAATATTGTATGTATATATATATTTATAAGGAACAACGAAAGAGAGAGATAGACAGAGAAATAATTTTAACCTTCACAAATATGGATTTACGGTACACATTCTCATATACAAACATGATCCAAAAAGTGTCGGTTTTGATGCCAAAAAATAGCTTGGGATGTACCCAAGTTGCCGTGCCGAACTTCAGGTATAGTGACATCATCTGACTTGAAGAAGTTGCTGATTGATCCACCAATTCCATGGGCAATTCACCAAACAATGAAGCTTCATGGGGGCCATACATGCTAGCTTAACGATTGGCTTTGTGGATGTTACAACTAGGCTACTGGAAGTATGGTTTCTGATGCATATCCATAGATGATAGTCCGTTAATGGGCTGTATAAACCAACACACATGATTGCAGGGCACCACCCTGCACCCTGCAACTACCAACTGGCGGCTGCTTGACGCAGCTTGGGGCACTTCTTCTTGTCATCAGAAATTTTCAGTGCCTCAGCCGGTGGTGCTGACCAGGTGTCATCGTTGGAAACTGATAGGGCTACCCACAATCCAACATATTAGACTTATTAGACCATGCCTTAGCATTGAAACTATCCTCTGGTAAACGTTTACATAGCTATAGAAAGATCCACCATTTGATAGCTGGGTAATAAACGTTTACATAGCTAAAGAAAGATCCACCATCTTATAGCATTTAGTAAATCAACTATTTCGACTGGGCCATGTTCAACAGCTTTTTGTATGTTTACCAGGCCGGGTACCATGAACCAATGGTCGACTTGGTTGACTTGGTCGAAATTTCGAACGCCGGCTGGGGAGATTTCACCAAGCAAACTGAAGAATTAACCCAGCAGATATCGGGATAAATGAGATGCCATATATCATATATATATATATATGTACTATGATATATATATATATGTGTGTATATGCATCACCAACTTACCAACCTTATTTGATATTTGGATGCATTTGAAAATGGTGGTCTTACTATGATTTACCAATCATATGTTTTTAAAACCCAACAAGACTGACAATGTTATAGTAAAATCAAATATAATTAACATGATTTAAGGGTGTGTCTAAAAATGGGGTAAACGGCCAAAAGAGCTGCATGTTAATACTATAGATATCTAGAAATGAATTATCTATGATCCTGTATGTCAATGAGAAAACGGTTGGCCAATAAGATCTTATCACTGGGGCCCCAACGCCCACTTTTTTCAACCTCATGGGACAGCTCAAACACCAAGCTCCAGCCTAACCTAACCACCTTCAATTTGGTGGTGTGTTAATCCCCTGCGAAGTCAGTTTTTAAATTTTAGTGCGACTACTGATAAATACATTTATGTAAGTAAATAAATATATATATATATATATATAAAATACGTTCATATATAACCTGAAAAACACTGAAAAAACAAAACAAAAACACTAAAAACATCTGCCACGTGCATGGCTATAATTCATGATAACTCGATGACTCGATGTTCACCTTTTGGTGGTTGACTCCCCATCCTCCACTCCGCCGCATGCCACGGCGCGTTGAGTCCCTCCGTGGCCATGGCAGCTGTCGCAATCAGGCAACTCCCGGCGCGGTCTCGTTGGTAGGAACACAGTCACTGAGAGCCAAACGGCGTGGGAGAAATCCTTGGTAGCTTTAAAGTGAAGGACTTTAAAGGATTGGTTGGTTCAGAAGGATTGTTTTCTCCAAAATTGAAGATCAACAAGGATCAACGAGTCCATGAGTTGTGAATGTATATGTCATGGCATTCACCGCAGATTCCCTACTTGCTGCTTCAACTCAGGTATGATGGCATCGCTGCAAGGAGACTGACTAGCCCTTCGCCCCCTTCGGCAGTTGGAGGTCCGACCTCCACAAAGGATTGCAAGCGAGCGCATTCCGCATTGGCGCCATCAGCCTGAGGAACTCACCCAGCAGCCAATCGTCCAAATATGTGCAAGTCCAGGATTGCACATCAATATGTCTGGAGAATATGTCAATGTGGAGACGGAACAGGGATGGTCAAGGGGCATGGACTTGGAAACTGAGTCCGCAACATGATCGAATTGTACTGCGGAGATCTGTGGCTTGAATATATGTTTAACGTAAAAATGTTCTTATTACTGGTTGATTTATCTTTCGGGTTCCCGCGCTTCCAAACCATATTGCATAGAGACCCACACCACTGATAAGACACAAGTTCCCGAGACTCGTATGTTTTTGACTTAAACAAGAAACATCCCTGCGCTTCCATGTTGTTCCAGGACGGTTTATGTATGGGTCAAATCTGAGATCCATCCACAAAGTGTTGCTAACCATCTGACTAAGAAATTGCACAACCCCAATTTTGACACAACGTCATGGTTTGCCACTTGTATAGATTTACATTTTCCATAATATATATATATATACAATATTCATCAATATTCATTATGTGTAAATCCCAGCTGTTGACTGTATTTTGTATCCGGATGGTTCTGTTGGTCCCCGTCGACTAGCTCTGAATTGGATGATTTTGCGAAATCTCCAGTGATTGGTGAATATCACCGTATATATATATATTATTATATATTATAATATATTATAATATTATGTATATAATTAATATATATATATATATGTATATATATATATATGGTGATTGTTGACAAATAAAGGCATCCCAATCCTTGCTACAGAAATTCGAAACATCGACTCCTCATATGTGTCTTTTGGGCTGGTTAGATCCATGGAGAAATTCTATGGTTGAAATCCCGTTGATCGAATCCCCAACTTCTTTGTTGCTCAAATCATCATGTTAAATCATCATTGTGTAGCTAGTGAAATCACGATGTTTCAATGACATGTTTCAGGTAACAAAAATTGGAGGTATACCTCGTACCTACCATAATCTATATATATGTATAATTATGTGTATATATATATACAGTATGGGTTTGTCTCAAAATAGTCTAGCCCTAAATCCATTGGATTATCATGTTCTCTTATCCAAATAGCCATTTGGTGGTATACCCCAAGTGTGTAGACACAGCCATATCAGTTGAGTCCCATTGGCTTCTATAAAAATCACCATGGAAAAATCCATTTCAATCACCATTTCAAGGGAAATACCCTCTGGTAAACTAACATAGCTATTGAAAATGGCCATTGAAATAGTGAGTTTTCCCATTAAAAATGGTGGATCTTTCCATAGTTATGTAACAAATTACCAGAGGGTATGCCTCCGTTGTCCCAACGGCTGGGCCAAAGGGCGTTGGCTTGCGCCTTTGAGGTCAACGTCGAGGCATCACTCAGGGAACGGCGCCTCAGACGACGACGACAAAGGCATAGTATGATTTGAATATGTAAGTTGTAAATTTTGTATATATATATATAGAGAACATCTAACCTGATAATATTCTGTAAATATGTATTTTTATCTAGAATATACTGTATATGTATATATATATATATGTGTGTATATATATATATGTATATATATATGTATATATATACTGTATACATAATATATATATATATAATTATATAATTTGTATATTTACAAATACACATAATCTATGCCATATATAAACTAACATAATTCATCGTATTGAATAAATATGGGTCAAGTACATATTCTATATAATTATATATTATATATAATAATATGTATATATATATTGATTAATTCTAATGTATAGTCCTAGCAGAATTATCCTGAGGTAAAGGTTTACATGAATATGGAACGCCAATGCAAATCCACGGTTTCCCTGTTCGGAATATGATGTACACATAGTGGATTGTCCATATCTATGACCTACAATGTGAGGCCCCCAAGATAGCTAAGTTGGTTTATAACTCCAATAACTATGGTTTATGGTACTTATAACTATAGTTACTGGGGCTTGTAAACCAACTTGTAGCTGGGGGGCCTCAGTTTGTATATATATATATACGTATATACATACGTACATAGAACTGGGGACATCCAATGCATAACTGGGTCATGATCAAACTGACATGGGTTTTGCTGTTTTGGTCTGTAATACTTCACCATAGTTTCATGGTTATTTCAAAACCACTACTAGTGATCTTGGGTTTGGTCTATTGCAGCACAGTAAGAAAGCATACAAATAGTGTGTTGGGTGACGCGCATGAAATCACAAAGACAACACATTTCATATGTTTGGGCCAAATCGGCAGTCATGAAGGTTCGACTGCATCTATCTCTTTCGGATTTCACTATCCATTGACATGGATACCGTAATCTTACGGCGATACCCTATGGTTTTGCTCGGAAGGTTCTGTTTTGTTTCTAGCTGGACATTATATACCCCCTATCCATTGGCAAAAAATAACTTATGAAACTACCCGAACTACCCTTCACCATTTTTGACCCCTAGATATTTTATGCTTGATTCATCTTGATTCAAGATATTTGGCTAGGTAAAGCCCCATTTCTAGGTTTGTCTGAGAATAAGGTACCTCTAATTCCAATGGTTTATCATCATATTCCCACTTAATAGCAATTGTTAGGGGTACCCTCTGGTAATTTAACAGTTTGCTATGGAAAATCACAATTTTAAATGGGAAAACTCACTATTTCAATGGCCATTTTCAATAGCAAACTGTTAGTTTACCAGGCCGGGTACACCTCATTTTCAAACAGCCCCATATTCTTCCCTGAGGTGCCAACAGACTGGCGCAGTTCTCCTCTAAAGTGCTGCGCATCCTCAGAGAGCCCGAAAAATCCTCACCAAATATATGGTGGTTTCCCCAAAATGGATGGTTTATAGAAAATCCATCGGTGGGATCAAGAAACCCTATAAATAATGGGATGGTTACCATCCAATATATCAATGATATCATAGCTAATCCAATATAAATGGATCGGTTATACATGTTTTTAATGGAAAATCCATCGATCAATGGATCAAGAAACCAACATCTTCTGGCTATGAAATTGCATATATTGTGGTAATCCCATTCCAGTTCATATTAAACACCTCCCCAGAAAACACGGTGGATGTAGGGGATTTCAACATAATTGGGACTACAATGGGAGTGTTTAAGAGTTGAATGGGGGATGGGAGTGTATACCCTCCGGTAATTTAACATAGCAAATGGTCCATCATGAACTAAACTTCTAACAGGAATATAGTGGGGATGCAACGGGAATATATATATTTATATAATATCAATGTTTAATGATTTATAATGGTATTACGGTATTATTGTGGATTACCGTCTCGTAATTTAACACAGCTATGGAACATGGATGAACATGGTCCATATATGGAGATCTACCTATATAATTACCTATTTAAATGTATGATGTTCCATAGCTATGATGTTAAATAACACAACAACCATACGGTGCGTATGTACAATATTTTGCCACAAAGTGGTACATACCCTGCACTTGGCGAAGTTGCGGAAAATAAGTAGGAGAACTTGGTTTCATGGGAACTAGTTGTATACCCTCCAGTAGTAGAACGTTGCAATTGGAAATCCCGAAATGCCCTATACCCTCTGGTAAACTAACAAACAAACTATGGAAAATCACCATTTTCAATGGGTAAATCCACTATACATAAATCATTATGTTCAATAGCTATGTTAGTCATTACCAGAGGGTAAGTGAGAGGTCTAATGGTAAAATCACCTGATGGCGGATGGTCCATTGCCATGTTTGAGCAAACCGGGTCGTGGGCAAAAAAGAATCCAACGTTTTGGAGCACCAAAGACATGGCATGTGAAAATGAAGTACTTGCCCCGTTTACCCTCTGGTAATGACTAACATAGCTATTGAACATGGCCATTGAAATAGTTGATCTATGTTAATTTACCTATCAAAAATGGTGATTTTCCCTAGCTATGTTAGTTTGCCAGAGGGTATTTAATGGGGAGTAGTTAACCAACTTGATATTGTGATTTTTGGTTTGTCTCAGAACAAAATCCATTAAACGGCAATCTAATCTGATGGAACAAAACATTTTTATGTTTGTTGGGTTGGTCTAATCTATCAAATATCCCCCAAGATATTGATAAACAATGGGATATTAACCAAAACATCCAAAACTATGGCTCTATAAACAATGGGATAGAATATGTTTGACCAACCCAAATATCCCCAGCCGATCTTCCCCAGCCCTTCTGGTGGATTGACCAATGCCAGGCATCTCTTCGTTCAAAGCCTTCGTGTCTTTTCTCGCCTTGGACCCACAGGGTACACATTGGAACAGGTTAGTACCGTCCAGGCACCAGAAGGCAAACCTGCCACACCCAGCAAAAAGCTGAGTTTTTTGTGTATGTGTAACATGATCTCATAGCTGTGGCTGCCTTTCACACATTCTGGGAATAAGGAATGGTACAAACTATAAACATTAAACGCAATCGTATTTCAATAATATATATATATATGTAGACATAGTATGTTCCATGAAACTTGAAACAAAAACATATATATATACATATTGTATAAATATTTTATGTATATATAAATATCACATATCTTCCATATATTCCCATCCCATCTTTGAATCCCTTCCCCAGCCGATCCAAAAAAAGCCGATCGGCCTCGCCCAACTCCAAGCGAAGGGTGCGCAGCTGAGCTTTGAGGTCTTCCACATTGGCCTGGC